GGATTAATTGTTTAACACGAGGTAAAGCAATACTGTATCAGTACGGTACCACTAAGACTCCAAGAATAGGGATACTGGGAAGAACCCCAAATGTGAAGTGAGGAGCGAATAGAGTAATGATGTACAATGCTGATAGGTGAACTTCTGAAGCAATACGAATCTGATTCGTCTAACTAGTCTAACAGACCCAACTATTCCAATACTAGCACAAAATAAAACGTAGCTAATAGCCAGGTAAAACAGATTGAAAGACTGCAATCTCAGGTACTACCCACGTTTTCACAACGGTGAGAGAAGAAATAGGAAGCTTCTCGAAAAGATACAAGGCATGACTGGACGAGCACTCAGACAACCTGACAGACGACATATTTAACGCTAGAACTACCAGAAGGGTTAATACGATTTGTTTCATATCTTCTATTTTTACAATATCAGTGAACATATGAACTGCCTTTGACAAAATTTATATTTATTTTCGTTCAGATCGAAACATAATTGTTTATAGTTATTCGTCTTCCTCGTGCCACTACAATTATCTTCATTTAAGTAAAATATACGTAGCCACTCATTATAACTCGGTAGTTCTAGTGTTAACACGTTGACGACTGTCTATTTGATCTCCATCTTCTCACGTAGGGCCGGGCATATAATTAAATATTAGCTGTTACAAGAAGAGTGCAAGTCCTTCGGGTCATAGATTTAGTTGAAACTTTGCAGGTTTGTAGATTTAGTCATTCAGTTCAAGAAAGTGTACCATTATAAATGATGGGAGTTGCCGATTTTGAGGTGTAAGAGTAGAGGTTACGAACAGTTTTCGGGAGAGCGAGATGAATTATTGGGTACTTGGTGTATATGGTGGTCAAGCGTCCATGTCTCATCGTGTTTTACCTGAACTAGGGGATACTCGGCAATATGGTATTTTCCCAATAAGAGTAACAATACCGCCGAAACGGTACTTCAAAGATTAAGACTGTTCGTCGCCAACCGGTTGTTCTGTTCATTAACTATCAGCCTGAATCTTATCTACGGATTTATAAAATATAAATCGTTTAATACCGTTAACTATTTAATCAATCTAGGATTAAATATAACCATATCTTGCTGGTCTACTCCCACGGTCGCAGCGTTGTCCTTTTATTACCATAAAAGATCCTGAAACCGTGACACTATCCTCGTCGATTCTCAGAAACGAGATCACAGATTGAGCTTCAAACGCGCCGACTAAGATAAAGTGACAGACAGAATGTGACACCGGTCTTGTTCAATTGTATCGCATTAATCCCTTCTTAGTTCAAGCGAGTTCGATGAAGTCACCTCTTCGCATAAGTACTCGGATTTGATCCCGACCGGCTGACGCTAAAGTGGGCACTAGTGTATTAGATTATGGTGGAGCTCATAATTCGATATTCCGGGGGCACGTTATGGCGGCGCCACTGTCTTTGACTAGACTAACGAGAAAGTAGTCCTGTACATTGCAACCGAGTGGAATAGTGCATAATGCATTGACGTGGACATTAACTATTCGACATAAGACAAAATGAATGCGTAATATAATATAAAACGAGTGAGTAATAATTTATATATTACATTACCATATAATTCCGCTACTGCATTATCATATACCGCTATACATGGATAGGTGGCCTTCATGCTGCCTGTATGAAATTATTTCTTGATCTATAGATTATACTTATGTGCAAAGACACATTAGTAGACGTTGAATTCAGAAAAATGAAATTTGGGTCAAATATTTGTCTTATGGTGTATTTATCTTTTAATACAAATTGTATGTAAAATCTTTGTTATACCTTCATAACTGAAGAAAATATTTGGATGGTTGCTTTTAAGTAGGACACCCAATATATTATTATTCTACTGTCTGTCAATTTCTTATGTCCCCTTTTTGTAACTTTGAGAATTATTTACAATTATTATATTATTTCATACACAAATTTTGTTTAAATTCAATTTCTTCCTGCATCAACCATTCCTGATTGTACCACCAATGTTGGGACACCCTTTATATTTGTAATTCTATATTATTTGGTATATAATATGTATTTTAAACTTTCTGGCATAATTATTGTTGTTACAATTTTCTGTAAATTACAAATTGAAAAAATCAGTTTATTTGATCATTAAAATTTCATGATATTTGATCGAGTCTCAAAAAAGTTCATATTTTATTTACATTTTATAAAGCAAGTTCGATATCACATACGTATATCAAATACAGTAGCAATTTATTATACGGAAATTAATTATTCGATATGTTTTATTTCTTCCTCGTTTAACCAAACATTAAACAACTACCGATACATTATTATCGAACGCAATGGCGAAGTAGCGTTCAAAGTGCAACATGTATTAAATCCTGAACAGATATTCGACACGTAGGCTATCGCAGCAACGAGCCTCGGTGAGTTTCGTTTAAAATCCACGCAGGACGAATTGAAAAAAAAAGAGGGAAAAAGGACAATTTTCCAGAAACAATCCAATTTGTTCGTGAAAGTTCGCGTCATTCCCAGGGAAATACACGTATCCGTGGCACGGATTCACGTCAACAAAAGCGATACACCGAAAACCAACGTACCCTCGATGAAGCGTTTCGTCAACGTCATGTTTTCATATACACACACCGAAAACCATTACGACACTCGCCGCTTCACCCCATCGCCGTGTCCCATCCATACATCATATCCTGTCTCTCCTGCATAGCCCACATAGTATTATGTGACGGATAGCCATGAATCAAAGGCACGGTATCTCTGAAAGCGTTTCGTCAATTTTGTTCGTTCCCGACAAGAGACGCGGCTAAACGGGACGACGGCAAGCGAAGCGACACGGAACGAGACGAAGTGTGACGAAGTGAGACGAAGCGAGGCGAAGTTAGACGAAGTTAGTCGACGTGAGTCGAAGCGAATCCACGAGTGACAGGGGTGGGGAGCGACGAAGGGACACGAGAAGAGACGAGAAGAAAAGACAGCGACGCGGTAGGAGGGGCATTAGTGTGTACGTTCGTGCCATGTCTGCCCGTTAATATTCGGTGCATCATTTGCAGTAACGCTCGTCGAACGTTTTAACAGCAACGTTAAAACCATTAGCGTCACAGGTGCAGCGATTTCAAGTTTGTTGAACCGTAGATAACGAGCCGAGTAAAACGAACAGGGAGGATGCACGAGGAGAGAGGGTAAGAAGGGTAATGACGTGTGATGCGATACGAGTGACACGTGTAAAACGGGCCTGCATAATAGGGAACGCGCGCACGCCTTTTTTCGTCAGAACCCTGCGCGTGTTGAACGCACATATAATGCACTTAACGGACTCGGTAGGACCTACTACTGCTCGTTAAGCTAACTGACCAACGCGTTTCTATTGTTCCGCGTAAGGTCGCGAGGGAGAGAGACAGCGACTCCGTGCGCCAGAAAAACCGTAGGAGTGACTCTGAATCGCGAAACTAGCTGGGAACCGGTATCGCTGTCATTGTATCTTATCTGTTTCACGGATTTTGACTCCAAATCTTTGACAGGAAATTTATCAATTTCTGCACACAAGAGTAAATTCATTCGCGACTTGTCAACCTTGAAATTTCGCTTCTTTTTTTTATATTTCACGTTTCAAATTGATATAAAACTATCGGAAAATACGAAATCAATTTTAACCTTTTGCACTTGTATTTATATTTGAAAATCAACAATCAATACCAATCAGCTCGAAATTTTTTTTCATATTCGATCCAAATGAAAACATTTTTATGGGAACGTGTTACAATTTAACTTGTCGGTTTAGTAGAAAAAATTAGAAAAATGCACAAATTTGATATTTGTATAATAACAAAATTTAGAATGGCGACTGTATGACGATGTACGAGTGGAAAGAGTTAATCGTTTCAGATGCAAATTGCATATTTAAACACGTATAATCATTGTCTTCTTTTTCCTCTTCACAAGACAAAACAATTAAAATTTTAAAATAATTTAAAATAAAAAAATTGTTAATGCAAATCTCTAATATTTAATAATAATATACTATACTCAGGTACACATTGGCGAGTACATAAACAGTGTAGAACACCCTATAGAATATAACAATTAGAAGTAATATATGTTAAAGCAGCAGAACATATTTTCAAAAATATTCTGAGCAATCGAAATAATTTACACAACGGGATATAATTAAATCAAGGACCGTTAATTATGAAGAAATTACAATGAACATATAATTATATCAAAGTATGCATAACGCAGAGAGCTTACTCGGGAACACGTCTGATTCGCATAGATTCTTCGAATGGCACCCTTCGATAATGGTACAAGGTAGTAATCACGTAACGCGTACATGGTAAGTTAAATTTTACTCAGCACGCGCTTAATTGATTATTCGGTTGTTAATAGGTTTACACTTATCGCTAAAGCGTAAGGGATACATTACTCAAGAAGTCGTAACGTAAGCCATCCGTTTGCACACTTTAATTATGACACATATAGTTGGCGAAGCAACCGCATGAAATAGAATATACCATGATACTTCATCGTTTCAATTATGCATCTCAAACGCGCCATCTTGCGGGAATTAATAAATAAGCGTGCTTGAATATTTCCATAGTAATCCGTTCGTACGATGAGGAATGGGAGTTATCTGTTAATACATTGTAGAGTAACACAATGAAGATCTTTCCTTCACACGAATACGCATCCGCCATTTTCTTTTTTCCTTTTTTTTTTTTTTGGAGACAATAAAGTCGTTGTATTCGACTCGTTAGTTGGACAAAAAAGTGCTTTCACGATGTGTGTCAAGCCATTATTCTTGGCCATGAATTCGTAACGTTTCACAATAGAACCTTTTTTTACCAGCATTCAATGAGATTCGATTTTTGCCAGGTTCTATAAGATGTATTAATAGCGAGCAGAAATGGAGGACGGCATGATAAGAACTTCATAATGGCTCTCACGATAGATCTTCATCGTCCATTGTTACGCTTGAGTATCGGTTGCTATTCGAAAAGGTCATATTATAATGTACGAAAGTTCTACCAATTTCATGCTCCTATTTTAATCTATGATATTGCGTTGGAAATTTCAGCATTGGTTCTTCTTTTCCCTAGATATTACAATTTTTGTATAAATCTTTTAATGTAGCGTGTATATTTGATCCTTTGCACTCGACAATTTTGGATCGTTGGTCATCCAACAGTATAATAAACAGAAATTTAAGTAATCTTTTTGTCTAAGTATCTATTAACCCTTTGCACTCAGCGATTTTTTCGTTCACGAAAAATAATAATTCGAAAACTTTCTGTCATAAAGACGACGATATTTTTAAAACAGTAAATAAGAAATCGTATGCAAATTGGGACGTAGAATTATTTTACTTCGACATTCCACGCATCGTTGGGTAATTTTAAATTTGATATATTAATTAACATCGATTTTTAGAATTTGATTAAATGGCAACTGAGAAGCGTCTCTCGATTGCAAACAGTTAAAATGGTTTCGATTTTTGGAACAATAACTACAGTACAAGTAACATTATAGCGAATTGTAATAAAACATAGTAAAAGGAAAGAAAATATAATAAAAATTGGAGTAAAATAAAATAATTTTTGTGACAAGTAAAAATTCTGTTTAAATATTTGACATATTTGTATTTTAAATTAATGAATATTTGAGAATTTATTAAAGGGACTCTTTTTTAAAGAAATTTTTCATTATTACCACAACTTCATACTTGATTTCATATCATAATTTTCGTTTTTGTTTTTATTCAAGATATGTACACGTATATGTGTATATAAAGTATATAAGTAAATTACATTTTTAAAAATTAATTACTCTAATTAATAATTTAATAAATACACAGCTGAATATACCACGTATGGTGAATTAATATTAAGATGTTAATACATTAATATGTATTAAGATAATCTCTCAAATTGTTAAATAAAATGTTTAATTAGTCATAGTCTTTTTAACTCTTGAACTGCCTGTAAAATATACCTCAATATACTATATATTGTAATAGTACAATTGTAATAGTGTAATGAAAACAAATAAGTATAAACAAACATAGTTATACCTCAATAAATATCAATACTAATTTTATCAAAAATCCTCGAATTTATCTGTGAATTCTCAGAGAATGTGAAAGCAAAAATTTTTAACATTGTCATTCTGTCATGCTAAGGTACATTACTTATGAGAATCAATATGGCGATGCCCCAGTTATGTCGATTTTATACGTGTTGCGCCATTTTAAATAACTCGAAGAACTATCCTAGTATAGTCATAATAATTTTAAATGATCCTGTTTCAGTTTCCTTTATAAAATACAGAGTGTCCCAAAAAATGTATACATACTTTGCGTAATTATAAAAACAGTATATATTTAGATGGATTACAGATTACAGAAAAAATAAATTAGAAAGAATAAGGTATTAAAGTGTGTATACGATTTTTTGGGACACCCGGTATATTCTGCTTAGTACCGTATAGCGTATTTTTAAAGCAACTAGTGCGAGAATCGCGTTGCCTGTGAGGTATTAAAACAATTCCAATTGCCCATCATCGTGTTTAATGGCTGTCACCTAGTCCCTTGTAATGGAACCTCAGCACGCCCTCTTTAGAAAGGAAGAAGGCTCTTCGTGGTAGAGCGTGGTAAGTAAAGTTTAGCAACAATGTGGAATTTCCTCTGGTTCTAACTCTTCAGTCACGGATTGTTACAACAAACTTACCCTTTGAGAATTCCGGGGTGACGCCTCTTTAAGCGATTGAGGGCTAGAAAGGCAAATTTCTACAAACTCTACCTACAGTGTCCTAATTGCCTTTGCTAAAGTATAGTTTACACCAGTGATTTTCAATCAGTCTCCAAGGATTTTCCGACGTGTCAGAATTCTGAAAGCCTGCAATTCTTGAGTACTTAGTCGAAGATGTTTATCTCTTCTTCCTCAGATTGTTAAACAAACAGGAAATACAAAGGGGATTAAGTTGCAAGTGATACATTATTTTGGTTTGTTGTAAAGTCATTAGTAACTATTATATTTGATATGTCTTGAAAGGGTGAAGGCTGAAAACGATTGGTGTGGACAGAAATAGAGCGAAGAGCTCAAATTTATATTTGATAGTGTTAATATTTATGTTAATATTTGAACAACTGTAATTTCGTGAAAAGAAATCGTGCAATAACATTTATGATCAATATAAAGGACAATAACAATAACAATAACATTGTGAGATCAATATAAAGAACAAAGCCTGTACTTTCGCATCACCAGAATTAATTTATATTTAGATATTTTTATAGAAGAAAAGAAAGACAGTTTTTCTCGTAACACGTTGCCCACCAAATTCGCATTTTACAAACGAAGATGTTCACCCTTGTTCATCCCATGCTAGCTAATTAATAAAATTCTGTCACACGTCAGAAAACGTATTATATTTTTGCTGATATGATTAAATAAAAAATAAATATAATATTGATGAATTTTCGAAAAAGAAAAAGTTAAAAATAACAGGAATTGTGTTAAAATCTTTGAAACTTTTCATTGCAAATTTAAAAATCGCTATTACAAAATGAACCCCGTTTATCAAATTGATTATGTTATCGTTTCGATAATTGTATCATTTCATTTAAAAGATTCTCAAAATTGACAGAAACATCAAACCAAGTTTGAACCTTGGAAAAATAAATTCTTTTCTGGAAAAACGATTAATTTCGTCGAATTTAGGAAACCAACGAAGAATTTAGTTCATCGAACTTACAACAAAGAAAAAGTTAATAATAACAGGAATTATGTTAAAATTTTTGAAATTTTTCACTGCAAATTTAAAAATCGTTATTCTAAAATGAATCCTGCTTACAAATTGATTATGTTATCGTTTCGATAATTGTATCATTTCATTTAAAAGATTCTTAAAATTGAGAGAAACATCAAACCAAGTTTGAACCTAGGAAAAATAAATTCTCTTCTGGAAAAACGATTAATTTCGTCGAATTTAGGAAACCAACGAAGAATTCAGTTCATCGAACTTACAACAAAGGAAAAGTTAATAATAACAGGAATTATGTTAAAATTTTTGAAACTTTTCAATACAAATTTAAAAATCGCTATTATAAAATGAACCCTGTTTATCAAATTGATTATGTTATCGTTTCGATAATTGTATCATTTCATTTAAAAGATTCTTAAAATTGAGAGAAACATCAAACCAAGTTTGAACCTAGGAAAAATAAATTCTCTTCTGGAAAAACGATTAATTTCGTCGAATTTAGGAAACCAACGAAGAATTCAGTTCATCGAACTTACAACAAAGGAAAAGTTAATAATAACAGGAATTATGTTAAAATTTTTGAAACTTTTCAATACAAATTTAAAAATCGCTATTATAAAATGAACCCTGTTTATCAAATTGATTATGTTATCGTTTCGATAATTGTATCATTTCATTTAAAAGATTCTTAAAATTGAGAGAAACATCAAACCAAGTTTGAACCTAGGAAAAATAAATTCTCTTCTGGAAAAACGATTAATTTCGTCGAATTTAGGAAACCAACGAAGAATTCAGTTCATCGAACTTACAACAAAGGAAAAGTTAATAATAACAGGAATTATGTTAAAATTTTTGAAACTTTTCAATACAAATTTAAAAATCGCTATTATAAAATGAACCCTGTTTATCAAATTGATTATGTTATCGTTTCGATAATTGTATGATTTCATTTAAAAGATTCTTAAAATTGAGAGAAACATCAAACCAAGTTTGAACCTTGGAAAAATAAATTCTCTTCTGGAAAAACGATTAATTTCGTCGAATTTAGGAAACCAACGAAGAATTCAGTTCATCGAACTTACAACAAAGGAAAAGTTAATAATAACAGGAATTATGTTAAAATTTTTGAAACTTTTCAATACAAATTTAAAAATCGCTATTATAAAATGAACCCTGTTTATCAAATTGATTATGTTATCGTTTCGATAATTGTATGATTTCATTTAAAAGATTCTTAAAATTGAGAGAAACATCAAACCAAGTTTGAACCTTGGAAAAATAAATTCTCTTCTGGAAAAACGATTAATTTCGTCGAATTTAGAAAATCAACGAAGAATTCTCATCCAAATCGAGCAAAACATCGTATACTGACAATGAGTTTAAATACTACAAGCAAAGCCTTTCTCCTCGAACTGATTATAGCACCACTTGGATGAGTGCTTCGCATAATTTAAAGAGCTAACGACAAGTGGTGAACTATATCGAGGGAAAGATTGCAACATCGGCGACCACGAGCAGAAACACAATACGAATCATCGAACTTAAATGTCATCGTTCCGTAACGGGCACGAATAAAGACGAAAGGTCAACAACCCTATTGTAGCACGAGCGTGGCTGCTTTCCTTTCAAAGGATCCTTTTCGACAGCCGAAGAAAGCGAGGAGCCACGCCATGTTCCACGATGCGAGTCATCGCCTGGCATTGTTAGCGGAAAATATCGATGATCGTGGCGAAAGCGAAAGAACAATGCAGGAAAAAGGAAGGAAAAAATGGAAAAAGAAAACAAGAAGAGAAAGAAGACAGGATGGAAAAGCGATGGCATAATATCTATTGGAAACGGATCATCGTTCTTCCCTTTATGCGACCCTCTTCCTCGTCTTCCTTCTCGGCCTCCACTCAACAGCATTTTCTTCTCTCGATAAGTCTGAGG